TGGTGTGAGTTGGTGGTCTAGTTTCATCTTTTTGCATGTATCTGTCCAATTTTCCCAACACCATTTATTGAAGAGACTGTCTTGACTCCATTGTATGCTCTTGCCTCCTTTGTCGAATATTAATTGGGCATAGTGGTTTGGGTCGATCTCTGGGGTCTCTATTCTATTCCATTGATCTATATGTCAGACCTCAGACATTTTATAGTCCTGGACAAAGTCATGAGACTTAGGGACAGTCTTCTAGGGCTTCAAACAGGGCTCAGAGAGAAAGAGCTCAGGCAAGGGGGAGGCTGGGGAAGGCACAGGAAGGTTCTGTCCCAGGAGGACTAAGTGCATTGATTTGTGCCAGGGGCTATGCGTTCACGGAATGTTCAGACGGTGCCTATATTGTGTCTGGGCCCTGGAAACAGTAGGGTGTACAGGGGAGGCTGTGCTGTTAGTCAGGTAAGGAGGCCGCAGATTCCTGGGACGAACTTTTGCTGGATGGACATGAGAAAGAAAGCTTTGGTGCCTTAGTTAAGAGTCCCCCACTTCGGAGCATTGCCTCGCGGTGGGGCGCGCATAGGCCTTGTCCCGGGGATTTCAGCACAGTTCCGTCCTCGGCACCCGGCAATCAGTGTCCAGCAGGGGGCGGGCGCGAACCAGGCCTCGGTCAGACACCTTAATTGAAGTGAGCCAGAGAAGCCCATGCCCGGATCTACTGGATTTCGACCCACGCCACCCTTGGGACCGTCAGGGACCGCAACGTCGAAGTTAGAGATAGTTCTGCAAAAAACTGCCCGGAGCTCCAGCTGTCGGGTCTGGGTCTGTCTCGGGTCCATAATCCAACTTCGCCAAAAATCCTCAGCCCGGATTCTACGGATTCTGCATTTGGGGACCCCACGCTGAGTCCTTGAAACCTTATCTCTTTCTTTTCCTCACACCTACTTCCACCCACCTGATTAGGGGCCTGTTTCTTTAACGATCAAAGACGTGGGCAGCGATGGGGGTGGTATCTTAGTTCCCGATTCTCCAGCCCCTCCGTTAACTGTACCATTAACATTATAGTCATTAGACTGCTACTGCGCGCCTGGCGGCGCTAGAAGACAAGCGCTCAATCTTCTAGCTGAGCTCGGAGGCTGAACGCGGAGTCGTGGCTCCTACCCCAGTTATTGGCGGACCTTGCCAGGAGCAACTCGGGCTTCAGGCTGCCGGGTCAGGCACTGGGCTCTCCGTCGTCGATGGCTGGGGTAAGGGTTGTCTATCCCGAGGGCACGCTCAGGGAACAAAAGCGCTCGCTGGAGAGTGGGCGGGAACCTCAGGAGCCCGTGGGAGTCCGCGCCCTTTCTGGGCGGCCACTGCGCCCTTAGCCGCGGTCCTGGCGCCTGGAGCCCTACCTTCTGCTGAATTCGCCCGGCTTCTGCAGCCCCGGCAGGAAAGCAAGGGAAAGGTTTTTTCTTGGCCCGCGGGTCCCGAAGGTTCCGGGTCGCTGACGGGACGAGTCCCTGCGGTCCAGGGAAGCACTCTGCGGAGAGCAAGAGAAACCATTCTCACTTCCACTCCCCAGCCTCTGTCTTACAGTCCCTCAACCCTTCCAAGATGTCCCCTGCTCTCCCGCCTCTGCGTCCACCTCCTCACAAAAAGAATCAGGAGAGAGGAGGAAACTGCGTGGGGGGTCCACAAGCCAGGCGTGTACACGCGGAGCCTGGATCCCTACCTCCGCGCCTGGCGCCCCGCCCCAACCCAGGAAAGGCTCCAGAACTCGCCATCCCGACCCGACTCTCCATTTTCGAAGCTCGGCTCTGCCTCCCCCAGACCCCTCTTCCCAGGCCAAGGGTTTTTGAATCGCCTCTTCGGGGCCCCCAAGACGCAGACAGCACTCCTAGGGAGACCCCCTTACTTCGCAGACAAAGAGACTTTGCCCAGGTCCGCCGGCTGCGCCACTCCCCAACCCAGCCAGGCCCAAACCGCAGGGACGCACTTCCGAACTATGGACCCTTCCCCATCCCACCACTGGCTCGAGGGGCTCTCACCCCTTCAACACCCGCCTCTGGGTCGGCTGTGGGGACTACAGTAGTAGGAAGAATGAAGTTCTGGCTCTGAGTCTGGGTTGAGCGAAAGCGCTGGTCCCAGCCGGCTTGGCCTCCTGTAGCAGCTGGGACCACCTCCACTGTAGGAGGTGGAGAAAGGGAGGAACGCGGAGTGTGGGTGCGCCAGTCGGTCCATATTTAATTTACAAAGGATCCTCGGATCCCGGATCCGGTAATCTCTTTAGATGCAGCACTCACAGCTCGGCTCTCTCCCCCACCTCCTAGCTCATTAAAATGCCCCACATTTAAATCTGAAAATTGAGCTTCTCAGAGGGTCCTAACACCCACCGCAAGAGACCACCCGCCCCCCAGCCCGGGGTGAGGACTGGGGGCCTAGGACGACCCGAAAGCTCAATGTCCACGAAAGGACTGGGGAGCTCGAGAGCTTTGTGTGTGTCCGGGAGCCTGTACCCATTTTCTAATTCGGGCCAGCAACGCTGTCTCCAGGGTCGTAGTGGGCAGTGAAGGGGGGAAGGATCAACTTTCAGCCAAATTCCTGTTACTTCCGCGCCTCTGCTTCCTGGTCGCTAAAATAAATGTCGGGGTTTAGCCAGAGACAACGAGTGAGAGTCGGAAACAGCGAGTATTGTATGTCAAGGCTGGCTGTTGTGTGAGACACTGGAAGGTGGAGAGCGGTACAGACTGTGGAAACCCTGGGTGGGGTTGGCGGTGTGTTTGCTTGTGAGGCTGTGAAGAAGATATCTAGATATCGGTATTCCCAGTCCACTGTGCTCAAGAAGAGCAGACGTTTTGTAGCCATCCCTTTTGGTGCTGCTGCCCCACGCACCCTTCGCCTCTGGCTGTCAAGACCTGAGGGTGAGGCGTTGGATGCGCTCAGGCAAGCTTTCTGGGAGCGGAGTCTGACACCCACGCGCCCCGTCTGGCCCCTCTTGGCGGCGCGCACAAGCCTGAGAGCTGGGCAGTGGGTTTCAGCGCTAGTGTAGCCACAAAAGACCAAACGTAGGGTCGGCTTGAAAGGCTGGACAGGGTAGGTGGTGGACTGCGGGGGCGGGAGGGGGGATGGGAGGAGGAGGCTTTGCTTCCCCAGTACGCACTGCAGGGCCAGGCGTTCGAGTAGCCGTCTTGGACGGGCGGGGCCTGGGAGGGGCGGGGCTGGGGACGGGGGAGAGAGACCTTGGCTTGAATCGCCCAGATCCTAGCAAAAATGGTAGGGAGGGTGGGATGCTCTGCTAACACTATCAATTATGCATCGTGTTGAATGTGGCTTCAGGGAGGAGGCGGCTAGCGGGGGTGGGGATGGTGGTGGGGTATGGGAAGGAAGGGTACACGCAAGCCCGGCCCATCCCACTCGAGGTCTGTCTGCCTCCCTACCTACTATTGCAAAAAGAGTTTAAATGCAAAACACGACCCTTTTTCGTTGTGCTCCTTGCCTTCCCCCAAATTCCTCCAGGATGGTTTGTCTCACGTATTGCGGGGTGTGTAAGCGGCTCGGATTCAATTAGCGGCGAAGCTCACGGGCCCTGGCAGCCCCGCTGTGCGGGTGAGTACTCATGAATGTGTGTGTGTGAGAGATGGGGAAATGGTGAGTGTCCTGGGTGAAGGCGTGTGCCTTTGAAACTGTGTGTGACCGTAGTGAGAGCTCAACACATCGACGCGATTACTACATGATAGATAATTATAACACGAGGGAATGAGGGTCTGTGCTAATGTGTGTGTGTGGGGGGGCTATGTGATAAGGACTAGCGGTAATGTCTGCAGATGTGTAAATGTGGGGGGACATGGATTATGGGGTGCGGTGGACTGGAAAGGGTCCAGCCGAGGGCTGTGGGTGTGGGGGCCAAAAGTGTCTCTGCCAGGGTAGAGCCTCTGGGGCGTTAACAAACGTAGAGAATGCTGGAGGTGGGAGAGGCTGTGCGCGTCCCCGCCAAGCCGGGAGCGCGCAGAAGGACTCTTCAATCTGCAGCCAGGGAGAGGTGGAGGGAACCGACACGAAAGGAAAAACTGAAGTGGGGCTGCAGGGCCAGGGGAGACCCCAAACTTACCCGTCCCTCTTCCGTCTTCCCCACAGTCGCAGCAACAGATGTGGGAAGCGCCCTTGGGCTGTCGTCTCTGAGAAGGCAGGTCTGGAGAAGGGGTTGAAGCCCCAGGCAGTGCTTGGGGAGACAACAAATGGCGGGTAAGCCTCAGACTGCCCCACATCTCCATCCAGGTGGGGGTAGACCCGGCCTAACTTGCTGTACCCAGTGAGACAAGGGAGAGAGGGAGAGGAGCTTTCCCCTGGGAGCAAAGGTGGAGTGAGGGGCAAGGGTTCCCAAAGATAGGGCGTCTCTGCAAACCTGCCTGGAGCCCTAGGCGGGAATGGCGGTCTGTGTGTAAGTGCATGTGTGTGGCTGAGGATAAGAAGGTTTTATTGGAGGGGGCGTTCTGGGGCATTCTAGAGCTGCAGGAAAGGAGCAGAATCTTGAACCTTCTCCTACTTAGTGTCCTGGGTGAAGGTGTGTGCCTTTGAAAATGTGTGTGACCAAAAACGTGTGTGGCAGTCCCCAGGACCCATGGGCTAGGGACCCCTCTGCTCCCTTGGAGCTGCCTGGGCTCTGCTGTAGGGGCACAGGAGGTTAGTAATGTTCCTACAATGCTCCTGATCCATGCATGCAGAAGGACCTCCTTCCTCCGATGGAAGACTGACTGAGCACCTCCAGTTCTCCCCTGACGGGAGCTGCAACCCAGAGCAGGCAGCTTAGGTCAGGCAGCTTAGGTCACAGCAGCTGAGGGGCCTGCCAGCAGGCTTCTTTGCAAGTTCTCCACATTGCTGATCCACTGGGATTTCGGTCTCAGTGGAGGGCTGTATGCAAGCACCAGTGCACCCTTGTGTCCCTGTGTGGGGGTAGGTTTGCATGAGGGCTTGTGTCCCTGTGTCCTATTTAATTCTTACAATGAATAGGAAAGCGTTTTTGCACCGTTGTGGAGAACGCTATACAAATGCTAGGTTGGGCTGAGAGAACAATGAGGTCCCAAGTGTATATTGTGTTAATGTCTGCGTGCCTCTGTTTGTGTGTCTACAAAATGTGTTGTGTACCTCTAAATCCCTGCAGAAGTTGGTGGTTTGATGGTAGTGCCCCAGCGTGTTTGTATTGTGGTTCGCCTGTATGGGCGTGTGTGCAAGTGCTGTACATGGGACAAAGAGTACGAGGGAGGACACCGGTCACGGACAAAAACACCCTTTCTGTGTATCCCTTTCAAGGGATTAAACAAAAGCTTCGAAATTCAGTGCAGAGCCCAAGGCGATCACCGAGCCTGTGCAGAGGGACTAGGGTTAGGGGTAGATAGAGAAAACAGAGCCAGGTAGGAGGCCGCTGGAAAAGGAAGTCGGGGCTGCGAGAGGGAGCAAGCATTTAATCCTGAGGCTTTTATTGAGCTCCACCCATGCCCAAGAAACGCCCCTGGGCATAAAGGAGGTTGGAGGGCCGGGAGATACTCTAGGCTGCTTCTGTGAGGCAGGGCTTGATAGGAGAAGGGAGCTGGGGCTCAGTGAGTCACCTTCTCCCCTCTTCCCCTGCTTCCACCTGCAGGATCCGCAGTAGTGCCCTTTGGAGCAGTATGGCTAGTGTGGGCACTGCTAGGATTGGCGGGAGCGTGCCCGGAGCCATGCGCTTGCGTGGACAAATACTCGCACCAGTTCGCTGACTGCGCCTACAAGGAGCTTCACGAGGTGCCTGAAGGATTGCCGGCCAACGTGACCACACTTAGTCTGTCGGCCAACAAGATCACCGTGCTTCGGCGCGGTGCCTTTGCCAGCGTCACGCAGGTCACGTCGCTGTGGCTGGCGCACAATGAGGTGCGCACTGTGGAGCCGGGCGCGCTGGCCGTGCTGAGCCAGCTCAAGAACCTCGACCTGAGCCACAACCTTATATCCAGCTTCCCCTGGAGCGACCTGCGTAACCTGAGCGCGCTGCAGCTGCTCAAAATGAACCATAACCGCTTGGGCTCGCTTCCTCGGGACGCACTCGGTGCGCTGCCCGACTTGCGCTCCCTGCGCATCAACAACAACCGGCTGCGTACGCTGGCTCCCGGCACCTTCGACGCGTTAAGCGCACTGTCACATCTGCAGCTCTATCACAACCCTTTCCATTGCGGTTGCAGCCTTGTGTGGCTGCAGGCCTGGGCCGAGAGCACTCGAGTCTCGCTACCTGAGATTGATTCCATTGCGTGCGCCACGCCAACAGCGCTGCGGGGCGTTCCTGTGCACCGATTGCCCGTCCTGTCCTGTGCACCACCCAGTGTGCGTCTGAGTGCCGACCAGCCTATGGAGGCGTCCGGCAGCCCCTTGCGTGCTGGCATGGCTCTCATGCTACACTGCGTTGCCGAAGGACACCCTACGCCCCGCCTGCAATGGCAACTTCAGATCCCGGGTGGCACCGTAGTCTTAGAGCCGCCGGTCTCGAGCTGGGAGGACTACGGGGTCGGGGATGGGGTAGAAGACGCGGAGGAGGGAGAAGATGGGGAGGGGCCAACGCAGACAGAGGTTCCAACTCCGTCTCCGGCACCAGCTTGGCCCGCGCCTCCAGCAACCCCACGCTTCCTGGCACTCACAAACGGCTCCCTGTTGGTGCCCCTCCTGAGTGCCAAGGAGGCAGGCATCTACACATGCCGTGCCCGCAACGAGCTGGGCGCCAACTCCACGTCGGTACGCGTGGTGGTGTCGGCAGCTGGGCCCCCAAAGCACGCTCCTAGCGCCGGTGGGGACCCAGATGTGCAGGCCCCAACCTCCGAGCGCAAGTCCACAGCTAAAGGCCTGGGCAACAGCGTCCTACCCTCCAAGGCCGAGGGCAAAATCAAAGGCCAAGGCCCAGCCCGCGGTAGCATCCTTGGGGAGACTGAGGCGGGGCCGGAGGAGGAGGCAAGGGAGGGAGAGGAGGTGGAAGACCAGGTCTCTGCGGACCCGGTGGTGGAGCAGCGCTGTGGCCACGGGGACCCCTCACGGTACGTGTCCAATCACGCGTTCAACCAGAGCGCCGACCTTAAGCCGCACGTCTTTGAGCTGGGTGTCATCGCGCTGGACGTGGCGGAGCGCGAGGCTCGGGTGCAGCTGACGCCGCTGGCGGCGCGCTGGGGCCCTAGGCCTGGTGGGGATGCGGGAGTTGGGCGGCTTGGGCAGCGACCCCTGCGCCGGCTCTATCTGTGCCCGGCGGGGGGCGGTGCAGCAGTTCAGTGGTCTCAGGTGGAGGAGGGCGTCAACGCCTACTGGTTCCGCGGCCTGCGGCCTGGCACCAACTACTCCGTGTGCCTGGCGCAGGCAGGCGAGGCCTGCCACGTGCAAGTGGTGTTCGCTACCAAGAAGGAGTTGCCCTCCCTGCTGGTTATCGTAGTGGTAAGCGTGTTCCTTCTGGTACTGGCCACTGTGCCCTTGCTGGGCGCCGCCTGCTGCCATCTGCTGGCCAAACACCCGGGGAAGCCCTATCGTCTGATCCTGCGGCCGCAGGTTCCCGACCCCATGGAGAAGCGCATCGCCGCTGACTTTGACCCGCGTGTCTCCTACCTTGAGTCCGAGAAAAGCTACCCACCAGGCGGCGAAGCAGGCTGTGAGGAGCCAGAGGAGGCTCCCGGGGAGGGCCTTGACGAAGAGGCGGAAGAGGGGGACTCGGGTGGGGACTTGCAGAGGGAGGAGAGCCTGGCCGGCTGCTCGCTGGTGGAGTCCCAGTCCAAGGCCAACCAAGAGGAGTTCGAGGTGGGCTCCGAGTACAGTGACCGGCTGCCCCTGGGTGCCGAGGCGGTCAACATTGCCCAGGAGATTAACGGCAACTACAGGCAGACCGCGGGCTGAACTCCTGCCCGCCCTGCCCTCCCAGTCTCACCTCCATCTTGGGTGCCTGGGAGCGGAAGCCTAGGGCTGGCAGGATTTATACCCACTGCCCCCCCCCCCCCACCAACACACACACACTTCCTCTGCCCTTTCACCACCACCACCACCCCAATCTTACTCTTGGCGACTTCTAGTGGGGAGTGGAACCATTTCACTAGTCCCCACCCACCCACGATCATCATTGACCTTGCGGCTGAATTCCCTCTGGCAAGCACAGTTTTCTGCTCCTCTCTCCTCGTATATGACACATCGCTGACCATGAGGCGAAATCCCGGCCTCTCCACTCCTACGCAACTATCTCGGAAATCTGCCCCGCAGCCCGCCCACTGTGAGCGGTGCAGCCAGAGTAAATGGGAGAAGGCGCTGGAAACAACTGAAAGTTAACACTATGGCGCCGGGTTTGGCCCGGTGCTCCCAACGGAGTCCCTACTGTGGAGCGCCCTGAGGTTCCACCTCACCTCTACCCTGCCCTTTCCGGGGTGCATATGCTAGAAGCCAGGGTTCGGTGACAACTCCCTAGTTTTTAGTTTCAAAGCCCCCTTGCGACTGGGAACCAAACCCTTCTACTCCCCTGCCCCCCTCTGCTTCTGACCAGCTGGAGCCGAGCCTGGTGCCTGGGGCGCCTTTCGGCTTCGCGTTCGGATTTTCATATTCTGGTTGTTTTCAAAGACAGCGACACTCCGGTCCGGTGCTAACACTTTTCCCAGCCTCTGGGAAATTGTGTGTGTGTGTGTGTGTGTGTGTGTGTGTGTGCGGGTGCGTGTGTGCGTGTATGTGTGTGTGTGCATGCAGTCATGTAACATTTTTATATATATCGCAATG